CAAATGGTCTTCTTATTTCAGTGATATGTGTTTTCACCCGTTTTTTACAGTTAATTATACCTCGTAACCGGCAACTTCCTGCTCCATGTTTTACCTCACTATTCATTATCCTGTACGAAAGAAATGTCAAACACGAAAGTTTTAGCTGGACTGAAACTACATATCACAACATTATTCATTTTACCTCTGTGTAATATCTGAGCTTTCACCTTCCGACCACGAGGCATGATTTTCGGGAAGCAGATTTCGTGCGAAAAGTACGGTAGCTTTCAACATAAAAACAACTTCACAGACATATAAAGCTGCATTTAAACAAAACTGCGTGTATTTATATGTTTATGATAAAGAATTGAGAAGCAAAATTTGAATTCTCGTACCAAAAGACTAACGCGTGGTATAATTAGGAATCATACCATATACTTGCTCGTGAAACATTGTTTGAACCAATCGCGAAAGTAAATCAACAACTGTACGGATTTAAGGGAATCCATGAGACTATATAATCATTTTCGCTACGCAACCGCTACGTTCAGTAACTCAATCCTATCGGTTGTCGTGAGTACAGGTGTTAGAATAACCCGGAATCATAACCCGTAAAAATTATGACATAACAATTCATGCCTACTTATTCATCTTATTCATATGGGCTAAAAATATTCGGATTACAAAAAATACCGTACAAATTTTGGCTCACAACACTATTTTAGAACATTTGACTTCAGACCTACTTAAAAATTATTACGAGTTTGTGACATTAAAATTCCGGAGTAAAATAATTCTAGTAAAACTACCACCAAAGTTAATCGTTCTGTAAGTCTCTAACTTTGATGCCGACTTGATCACTCATCCGCACCAGATCACAGGACTACGCGTCCCTGATTTGATTGGGTTGTTATTTTACAATTACAAACGCGTCTCAGGCAAAACGTTGTCACACCCTTAGTGTTTGTGATAATTTTATGGTTATTAAAATACTAGTGCAATTACGGCTGTAATATAATTTCTGGTTACTCTTGTCTCAATATCACGAGTTTCCATATATAACCAGTTCTATTAACTACTGCCGTGACATAAGTTAGTGTAACTACCTCAGCGATGTTTCTGATCTTGTCTTGAATCCATTGACTCCATTATGAAAGGCGGTGAGTGGACCACGAAGTATAAATTTTCTGTCTAATTTCTTGCGTTGTACATTATCTAACTACATTAAGTGACGTTGGTAATATGAGCCATATTCGAATCGAGTTGGGAGAACTTATTTCAGATGTTCACTTACTCAAAGAGACGGCAAGAACTGAAACAAGGGGAAAATTCTCAGCGCTATCCAACTTTTGTAGCCAGGTAAAAATGTTAAAGATATGTGACAAATGGCACAAGTGATAATCAAGCAAGAAAACACTCTAATACATGAGCAGTTTAAATCATAAGTCGAATATATATGTACATGATGACACAAAAAAGCTAGCTTAATTGGTCTGTTCGAAATTCGAAATAATACCAAATGCTACAAACTCGTTTTATGTAGTTTATTATGATTAGTACGAGTATTACAGATTCTTATAGACGGTTACCAGGTTGAGATAGCAGTATTTCCAGCATAATTAAGGTGATTCAGATTGATGAAATACTTTCAGAATGGTACCTGATCAGTATCATCAAGACGAATCTATGTAAATCACTTGTCATACCTATATCTATGATATTTACCTTTGTTTAAGTTTCTTACCTAAACAGCTTCATTTGTAGGCGTTCCAACCCAGATCCATTGCTATGCTCGCGACATTTGTACCGCTGTGTGAGTGTAACGGAAAGAGCGATGAAAATCCCTCCGCAGCTGTTTTTTAGACATTACTGTCATTTATCTGTTTCTTCCCCCTGTCCTGTATTTCAACCTTTATTCAGATCTCGTTTAACCACACCTTTTGTTCCTCAGTCTTCCTCGTCTGAGCACTTATAACATGGTTTTGATTAAAGACTTATCTTTTGTTACCTAATGTTCTATTGCATGCTGCCGGACTATTGAAAGTAAGATCGTGTTTCAATGAGCTCAAGGTCACAGCATGATTCATTGTGTGACTGTTAACCTTTTGACTGTCTGCTTGGGAGGATTGCTGGAATCCCTGTAGACAGATACTTCATCCCATCTTGTTGGGAATACTTTGTTGATTCTCAGGTATCAAACCCTATTTTATTAACTGTTTCTTTCACTGTTTAGCATACTAATTTGCATTAGAGAAACTTCTGACTGTATAGCACAGTATGTACCGTTTGAGGTATTTCGTATTTCTGATATAATGTGTTCTATCTTCTAAATTAGAAACGTTTAAATTGAGCACAGAGTTTGTGTTCTGATATAATTTAATACGAATGTCTCTAAAACGCTTTGTAAGCTATACGGAAGAACGTAGTCTGTCCTATTCGAATAAATTTTTGTTCGTCAGTCCTGCGTTCAAACCGAATATTGGCAGTTTGGTCGTTACAATGAGGAAACCGCTAATGAGTCATAATGAGGAGGGAGGGTGGAGCTATTGATCACAAAGCATTGATGATGAAGGAGATGTATTCAATCCACTCCTGTTTGTGGGCATAAAATTTTGTTTGTTTCAGGCTCTTTATGACTGAGGACGAGGCAAGTAATCAGTAATACTGAGGTTTTTCTGCTACACCCGGCACTCAGACTAATGTTCCCAAACTTATGTTGAATTCGCTATTGTACTAAGATAACCGGTTGCATGCTAAATTAAACTTTTACATTATAACCTAGTGGCCGTCATTAGATAAAAATGATGAAAGTAATAAAGAAAACAATAGACGAAATATGATATAGCTATATGCGTTTCTGAACACTACTCCCTTTTGATGTACTTTCGGTTTTAATAAACGGCCGTTCTGTTTTCAACTTCGAGTTTTCAATCTTTATCTGAACCCATTCTATTTATCATCACGTTCACTGTGCACAGCTGTGGAGCTTCGTACACCTGGAATAGACTTAGAAAACGCGTCTTTCAGGTTCACAGCCTTTTACATTTACTTCGTAACAACTATAACACTCTTAAACAGTTGTATTGTATAAATAATTAGTAGAACCAGAATTGTAACACAGTAATGTCAGGTTCATACTTCATGTACATTTCCAAAAGTCACAACGTCGACGTGATCCCGGTCTTGAAATAGATCGTAAGAACCGTGCCTATAGTACGTTACTAACACAAACCCAATCATTAAATCTCTGGTACATCTTCATGAATCCACTGCTCTTTGTTTTCATTGATTTTATAGATTAAACAACCCAGCTTGGGAAGCATCTTGTACGTAAATCAACGTAAAATTGATTGAATTATGACTCCATGGACAGTGGATCTGTAATTCGATCCGTAAATAATAGTGACTTCACATGTCTTTAGTGATAATAAGCGCCTTCCGATTATTCGTTTCGGTGGGATCTGATATTGATTCAAAGCTCGGTCATAAATGTGTAGTGACTCACATTTATCACGAGAACACGACTGGTTTAATAAAAACGCTTATTATTATCACCAAGTGTACCAGTGACTGTTTTGATGTGCTTTTGTTTGACTGTGCTAATGACAGCTATTTTGTGCTTCCATTCTTATACTCACACTTCGATTGTAACTTCGCGCGAATTCGGTTACGTTCTGTAACCAAGGTTGTATCCTGGCACGATCTCGGTATCCTTTCGATGCCACGAGATCGCCAGCAAATAAACCTCGACTTGGTCCATTAATTGCCTTCTGGTATTCGGCTTCTCGGGGATTTTATGGAGTCATTTGGAACGAGCTTCTTACGCCTTCTGATCTATTTGGCACGTGTTTCTTGGTAGCGGTGTTCATAGTTAACCTCAACTCGACGCCACGCTACAAATGATCAAAAGATAAAGCCAAAGCCAGATAAAACGTCTTAATAGTCTAGATAGCCATCTAGGGAGCGTCATGTTCCTCTTTCTCCGCATACAGTCAAACGAACCCTTACATCTAACCATCGTTGTCTTCTTCTTTGTTCATCTGCAGATCCATCAGTTACATGTTATTTGTTCACTGTCAATACCTGGTTCTGTTGTTTCTAGTCCATCGTCGTATTTAACATAATTTTCACCTCAATAGATCAGTACTACACCACAGTGATGTAAAACACTAGATGAGCTGTCAGTTTGGAGGGCACACGTAAACATACATGAACACTACTGTGGCAAAAAAGTCTAAAAGTCAAAGGACCAGATGCTTACATTAAAACTTTCCGAGATCAGTAAATCAGAAAACATAAAGCTTCAAGTATGTAATAGTTGGAGGAATATTATATTTAGATGGAAGCAGAGACAGATAGACCAAAAAGAAATTAATTAACAACTCACCGGAAAAGAGGTTTCTCATGATGGTTGGTCTAGTTTACCTCCAACCTAAAGAGGACCTTCAGGTAGTAGAGTTAATTGCAAGTATGAAGATCGGGTGTTGTAATTACACGAAGCCATTAACTTCACTGACGTGTATACACCTACATAGATGTAAGCCGCAGAATCACTTTCCGATGAGCAAGGCTACCATTGTAAGTCTACTGAATAGTTCGTTTCGTCAGATTTATTAAATATCAAAACGTAAACATATCTCACATAGGCACGAATCAGTCGGTGCCTTTCGGATTTCAGAATCCGTTATACGTAATTTCCGTTGTTTATCTCAATTGTCTGCCACACATATTATTTGAATCTGTTTACTTGTTATTGCAGATATGTCTCGAATGTATTTCAGCTAATTAAACTTTTAGCTGTCAGTTTTCAAAATCATAATCCTCTTTCTGAAAACTAAGAAGATTGACCCAGTGTCTTTGATGTTGATATCATATCTGTCCGACGTTCAGATTCCTATCATACTAGACGTAGATTTGGTGATTGTGAAATATCAGTAATGCAAGAAGTCTAAATTGGTTTTGACATCCTAATAGACGTTGATAGTCAGATTCTATTTTGCATAGACATCAAAATTCTTATGGGTTGCTACAAGGAGAGCGTACTATGGCCTATTTCTGGCTACACTATAATGATTTGGATAGTCGACGAATTGATACATAATTACTATTTACTGAATTTGATAAAATTATCACTACTTAAACTTACTCACAACAAAAAGTATCGCTTTAATATTGCCTTATCAGTCACAGTATGTCTTTTTGTTTTGGTAATCCAATTGCTAATTCAATTTTCAGAACCCTACAAAGTTTTGCGAAGAATTCATTATATGTAGTGAAAAAAATATATGCACTTCCCTTAGATGGGTCAAGGCATTTGAACATTTGGAAAAACCTGAAGCAGCCCTGAACTTTGATTTTAATCAGTTCACTTCAGACAAAGCTTTTGAAATTTATTTGTTTGTTCCAACAACAATTCTCTACAAATTTGGGGGCGACAGTTGTTCACCGGATAAAATAACACACTTTAGTACCAAGGCATCTGTTCACATCAGACTTATAGTTTCTGAAAAAGTAAGTTAACCTATTTTCTTCCATTTTTAACAACACTCAACTATGTTTAATTCAATACAAGTGACTGTGACATCATCAACTGTATAGTTCACATTTGGAAGTTTGTGAATAAATAATTGATTATCAAAAAACAGGCACATTTTAAAACTACGGCAGGTGTTCATATGATCAGCCCTTAAGTCTTGTTAAATTTCATGTGAAATATCCTTATATATTATATTCAAATTGGAAAGTTAGATTATATAAATTAAATCACGATGGTTGTTTTACATACAGTCAATGTTATTGTTACAAACCAACTTTTCGGACTATAGTAAGGCACCAGAAAGTCTCAAAGCGGTCTGATATTTCTCTTTTAAAACATTAGGAACATTCCCTTGCACTCTACGTCAAACACGAAGTCTTTTTGCTTAAATCCAGGTTTTAAAATTACACTATAAACTACTTCTGAAGATTCTGTTTGTCACCTTGACCTTGCAGTCTAAACAAAGGCGATTTTGAGCAACGACATCACTTCACTCATTTTAAAGAGACAAAGTTTCCAATAAACTTACTTATTCCAGCAGTATATACGGCTAATAGACCTGACTTTTTCTAATTCATTAAGATTACATTGCACTATGCTGCGTTTTATTGTGTGGGGACCCCATGCTTTGTTGCCCCAACTTTCACTCACACACAACTTAAAATTGTTGAAAGCAAAGTTGGAAAACAATAGGGAAACAAAAGACGTCGTTTTGTCTCAAATTTTGTCCTAGAGCTAATTTTTCACGCTGAAGTAATCTCACGATAAGCGACACAAATATACCTTTAGACTTTCATACAATTTTTTATGTTGTGGTGTTTTTCACGTAGCTATAAAACTTTCAGTTCAAAACGTCTGATTTTAATGGACATAGATTCATTCCCTTAATTATTTTAATGTGTTGTTTTAATGGTACGGTTTCTGTTATTCTAATAACGAAAAACTCTAAGTATCATTGCATTTAATATCACTTCAATTTATCTTACTTTCACAGACTGGTGTTAACGAACATGTACCATTTTCTGAAACTGATGCCTTTGGAGTTGAAATCCTTAAAAGTATTTCTCAGTTAGCATCTGGAACATTTGCTATCGTTCGATTATGTTCATTTGTCAAAACATGCTCAAATGGCTGCACCACGTGGTTACTGGGCAAACACGAACGTGGTTCTAATCATATGAAAACATCAAAACGATCCAAGGAAATACAAATTCATATGTTGTCATTTATTGATCATTCACAGCCCATTAAATTACCCTGTGGAAAAGTTTACGTTGTGAGTGATTCTATAGAGCATGAGCCTGTGTTAATGAAACCAACACTGTCAGCTTCTTCTGAATTTACTGATAGATGTAAGTAATAGTTAGTATATGTGAATAGAAATAGTTTCTATCTAAAAAAAACCGATGTTTAAAACGTTATCAAGCTGTTGGGAACAATTTTTCGTGATCAAAAGAAAGATTGTTTTTGTTTGATACTTTAGCTGACAAATAATTGTATAATTTTTAACTTTTGGGTAGAGTTCGGGTTCTGTAAACTTTATTTCGATTATCAAAAGTCATTTAACTATTTTCATCTCAAAATTGTTATTTGGACCAAGCTATCACAATAAAGCAAAAGTAAAAATGGGTAATTTGTGTTGAGCACTTGTAATCTAAATAGTACACTTACTTAGAAAGAATAAATACAAATTTTAGTTATCTTTAAACTGTTTTAAATATAGCTTTTATGTAAATAAGGCTGCCATGTTCTATACCTACACCGTAATTCATGTAGTTGCAGAGCGTTTTTAAAACAATAAGCTTCACTTTGACAAATCAAGTAAAAATTAACATCGAGTATTTATCGAAAGTCCGTGATTTACTCAAAACTGTTTTTGTTAGAACAAACTTATCTACCTTTATCAGCAAACATCTCTAGTGTGAAATCGAGTTGTTCCACACTACAGGTATCACAGTCGTAGTATCCCTTTATAATCTCAAATAAATAACAGCAAGAAATTTAATATTTTTTTAGATATCTTGAATTGAATTTCTGAAACCGCACAGCTTACGCTAATACAATTGCTTTGAAATAATGTTATAAGACATCTGAGAGCTCATCAAAAGATAACAGTATGAAACCAGTTTAATCTACCAAACGAGAATAGTTGAAGTCAGAAGTAAAGGTGTTCATTTAAATCGTCATATTTATAGCGTATGAGCTCGGAAGATTTTAGATCCATCCCTCTTCTAAGTTGTAAAAGCTTCAGCTTTTGGTCAAACAAAATGGGAACTACTATCCAAAACGTTTTAGAATTAAGTTAATAAATCTTTGCTTTCTCCATAAACGTAACTAATTAAGTCGGAAGAGCATCGATCTCCTCAAATATATTAGTGAGTTAGAATATTTCCTACACAATATTTATAAACACTACGTACTCTTTACCAATTTCACAGTAAATGTGCCCAACGAAAGTTAGAAACAGGAAAAATAAATACAGTTGTTTTAAGAAATTATGCATATATGTATACGTGCTTTATTTTATCGAGACCTAATGTATTAAATATAACATTTTAAGCTTTTTATTGCACAATTACATTACCATGAGTCTGTCTATGTATTTTTAGATATAAACTCAATCAGTCCGAAACGTCAAAATAGTTTTTATAGTTAAATAGTATTTATATAGCGCTTTCTAAAGTCTTAATAAGCAAATCATTATGAATTTCAAATTTCATCAAAAAGAAACACTTACTATTTAGTTTCTTTCTATTTGCTAAAATGTCTGGCTAAATATATGCTTTATATCGGATCTCTGAATACTGTGGGAAGCCTTTGAATGTGATATGAGGTCTATTTTGTCTCATTTTTTTCTGAACTCTATTCAGTAGTAAACTTCAGCATCAAATAAAGTTTTGAAACACAGTTGATATTGTTGGCTCCTTTTAAAGATTTTAGACCACATACGTGCCCCAATTCTTTCAGTACCTCCGATTGTTGTATTCATCCTCATTTGTGGTCACGTGTATTTGTGAATGAAAAACTAGTAAATGATTTAAATCGTAGAATTTATGAGTCAGCTAAAGACGAAGCGAACTCAAGAAAATGTTTATTTAACTGGTTTACTGATGATTACGGTCAAAAATCAAGTCTCCTTGACAACAAAAAGGTGCTAGCAAGGAGATCATCAGACGGTCATTACTACCTTGGGTCAGTTCAAACTGTCGTAAGTAACTTGTAAATCAGAAGTTTTTGTTCTTATTACCACTTTTTGTATTCTGTTGTGTTAATGCAGCGCAGCCAACTTCAATGTTTTTTTTATTTAACTAATATCTTCAGAAATTTATTTAGATTACATGCACATCCGACATTTGACCAATGCACTTTATAAGAAGAGTTACTAGGATAAAGCCAAAACCAGAGTTTTTTAATCTGAAGTGGATTGACTTGTCTCGTTGATATTTTTGACTGATATTTTATGAATATTGGTACATCCAACTGATTAGTCCAAAATAAAACAGAATGCATGCCCGAAACTCGACTACTAGCGACATCTCATTTATTTCTTACTAAAATTACTTTTTTATTCTTTGCTATTTCACTGATCCCAGTAAACATCCAGTAAAACTAAGTCAAAGATCTTTTGAATTAATGAATATCAAAGTTAAGCAATTCCTTTTACATATGATAACTTCAGAAGTTCAAAATTTTTCAGTATTTATTTGTAAAAAATAACCAGAGTTACTAAAATAAGACTAGATTTGGGTCGTTCGGAAAATTAATATATTCTATGCCACTAATGATTCGATCTTTGCAAAGGACAATGTCAAGGTCCTTACTACTTGTATCGATACGCTAAGTACTATAAATTAAGTGTATGACTGTAAGACATTATATATGTGTTCTAATGTTGATGATTGAATTTGGTATTCCCAACCTTGAATTTAGAGAAGACCATCTTGTGTTATTCTGTCATATGTGGGTCAACATTCCATTGTTCTTGCTCTGATAGTAACCTTTCATGAATATGGAAGCACTTTTCCTTGAAAGCTATATGCCAATCTCACTATTATGCGGAGAGAGGAGTGACTGGTTTGATACTCAGCATACTTTCAATAACTTTGCCAATGACTGTAATAATTACTATGCTGTTATTCATGTCACTTTTGCAAATACTTTGGTCGTAAGTAGAGTTTACCTGTACATAAAATATACTTATCTGTAAATCCTGAAGAGGGAAAAGATTAAAACTGGATGGAAATAACTGGGCACAAACATTCTCGTATTTGGAAGGGTTGTTTACTTCTTTTTAGAAGATCAAATACATGAAGAAGATAGACAAAACAAACAAAAGATTATTTTTAGCATCTTAGAATTTAATAATTCCCCTATGAATATTATTGAAAATATAGTAGTAGTTTGAATCAAATATTGTAGATTGGCACCGTAATTTACCCATACCTCCATGGTACAACGAAAGAACTTCAGAGTCTTAAAATAATATAGAATTAAAGCATACTACGAAACAGATAACGCCCTTTGAAATTGTCACATCTCAACAAAGAATAAAAGAATAGTAACTGCTAGAAGTTATTTATCGAATTTTATTACAAATCTTCCTATTGGATCACTATTAAGTAGCTAGATTATATGTATATTCATATTTCATAGGCTTTTATTTGATCTAATGACTTGTTACACGATTTACTACTCTCAAGTTGTTCTCAATATATTAGTTACAGTCTCTCACACTCTCAGTCACTTTTAACTTGATCCTGTATACTTGTTATTTTTTATTTTGTGGTACGATGAGGTTTGGTTTGCTTGTATATAAACTGTGTATGTCTGAAATACATGACTCATACAGTGGAAGATGAGATTGTGTTTTGGACTCAACAGACAGAGCAAGGAAAGAAGAACCAACAAGGACTCAGAGTTGATCCTAGGCTACTCGTGCTGCTTAACGCGTCATTGGTATGACACAATCCCAAAGTCATATGAGTCTGTTTTCTAATTGGCGATTTAGTCACGTGATATTTGATGGGGTAAAAGACATAACAAATTGCTATAGTTTATATAAAAGGTAAAATCATCTTTTTGTAAACATAGAATTGCGTCTACGAATTAGGATGTGTCGACTGTGATGCCTTCTGTATAGAAGAGTCATTTCGTGAAATCTTGATTCGAGTCAAAGGTCCTAGGTACACAGAAAACCACCTAATAATCCTGTAAAACTTGAAAAACTCCTAATTAGATCACGAATAGCAGTGGATGCCATCTTCAATAACCATCGTGATGATATCAAAATAATATTAAAAGACAGTCCACTTACAAGGAAAGGCGAGTAGCTGAAGCTTTTCATGTATTGTTATATCGTACTGGCCTCGGTCGAAAAAAACATCTTACTATCCATCCTACTTTAACCATCTATCTGAGCTACTATTTCCAATTCTATCTACATCTCATACTATCATCATACATACTCAACTCTACCTTTTCACATGACAAATGTAGCATTTTCCACACCCAATAACATAAACCTAAATACACAACTATGTCTTGATAAATAACCTTGATCGGAGTGATATGAGATTGAGTTGGTCAAATCTGTTTTTCATTGGTCGTACTAAATATTCCTCTGAACTATCTAAAAAAGTCCTAATTTGACTTATTTATCTATATGTTCGCTGAAGAGGTGTCTTACACTTAATCACGAAACGTCAGAAAATATTAATTTTTTGCTCGTTTAAATCTTATAAATACGTCTTTTATTATCAAAAATATACCCAATGCTCTATTTATTAGAAATTATCAAGTCAAACCTCAATTATGATACCTAGGTTGACTATAGAGTTTAGATTTTGATGACTGTTCGCAAAAATAGTTTGTTAAGATAATTAGAATTTTTTTGTTATATCCCAATAAGTAGAAAAGTTGTATTTCTGACGTTTCATGACTTAATGGTAACCACTTCTTTCTACTCAGTGCTCAATTTATTTGAATCTATCAAGTTTAACCCTGGCATTAATACCTACAAACTCATTGAGTTTGTTAAGATGTTTCGTTCACATTATTTCCCGTTCATACACTATCTATTTGGCCATTTGTTCTTAGGTTCTAGGCACCACGATTAGACTCTCTTAAACAATATAAAAACTTATGAAAAAAACACTGAAAATAAAGTTTAGCACACTTATTTTCCCCATAAGTTATTCTACACATTCGATCTATTGTGTTATTTTTTCAGAAATCCCATCTACCTGTGGATCAAGTTTTTATACGATTCGGTCCTATACACAATTTAACAAGCTTTGATTTGCGAAAATCCAGATCAACTACCTCGAATTCGGATACATTTCATTATGAATGGCTTGATATAACAGAAATCATTGACTTAGAGCACGCTATCAGACACTCAATTGAACCAGGTGATTGTGTTCTTGTACCCTACAGTTGGCCCTTTCCAAAGTGTCCCATCCTTAATGTGGAAAAACCATCTAGTTTTGAGAATCTCCGTTACTATGCAGCTATCGTAGTTTCTGGTCGAGAACAAAGAGCTGACAAGTGTAGGTTTCATTTTACTTTTATTTCTTCAAACATGTGTAGGGATTCAGTATCATTTTATCCACTTCACTCACATTAAATTAAGATTACAAAAACGTTTCTCAACAAATTCATTGTTACGTCTTAGTTGAATACATGCGGTCGACAAGAAATCGTAGGCCTAGGCTTCGTGCAAGTTAGCACATATCACAACAGGGTTTCTGAAGTATCGAATGAACTGATGCTTCTCTTTAATGTACCATTCAGCTTCAAGATCAGAGACGTTGCTGCTAAGCTACTTTACTCATTTGCGAATCAGAGTCGAGTTAGAAAATGACCAGTTAATTGCTGTCGGTTCTTTTTGAGGCTTTGATATCTAATTACTCATTAGGCATACTAGCAGTATAAGCTGCTATCACATATAAACTAAATAAATCCTGTTCTATAACGCTGATTTTCAATCTAATGTTCATAACTGTTACTAAATCACATATGTGTTACTTTACTACTTTTGTGAATAAAGTCGATTTTATATTGTAGCAATATTGCAGTGAACACATGAATACATTTTTTAAGTTTTCAAGTTAATTCATAATTAAATGTTTCGACCGGTAAAAGTAGGGCATCGTGAAGTACAGAAATTTTCTAAGGATTTTGATGTTACACAGATTCTTATTGTTAAGTTAGACGTAAATGGGGTACATTTATCTTATGAATGTTCCTTGTTTCAGTGCAGTCCACCGTTTCGGTTAGCTATAGTATAACGACCAGATCTTATATCACAAGTACATTTTTAGGTTAACTCAGCTTTATGTAAGGCTAGCTGTAAAATAGATACAATAATCAACTATACAATACTAAACGTGCAAATTTAGAAAAACAGTGTAGGTGTTAGTATTGAATAACTGTCTTAAATTATTCACTTAGCAATTAAACTTTGATGATAATACTTAATCGAACAAGAATTTACATTTGAGTTGCATGACCACCATAAATCTTTAAGCATACATACCTAGTTATGAAGCGATATTGTCTAACTAGTTAGGTTACCTATTTCATATCACTGTTATCAAATTTCAGTATGCACAAAATTCAATAAAATATATCCCGACACTTTCAAACAATAAAAAGTCTCTAAACAACTAACTATACTAAATACTCTTTAGAATTCTATTGATACAAGCCTTATCGAAATGTTCTCGTCAAGAAACCTAGATCAATAAAACGTAATTAGTATTGATACAAAAATCAATACCTACCAATATGCACTCTTCTGCTGCCAGGGTGATATTGATTTAGGTACATTAACAAACTTTTTCACTTTTTTTATAAAGTGCTTTGTAAAGATAAATATTTATCCATTTTGTAACCATAAAATGTGTGACTTACGTTGATTAATGAAACATTTCCTGATAAATTTATATTGGAAATACAATAAGTTTTAGATTAGAACTTCTCGACTTAGTATTTCCGTAACTAGCAAGTGTATAAGTTCCTAATCATTGCTAACTGATTTCTAGATAGTTGGACACTGACCTTATTAATACTTGACTTAATATCACGATCTGAAAAAGCTCTAGAAAATGAAACTCTAAAGAAAAAGTAATTGATACATGTCGCTACACACGATAGAGATACTAAGAAAAAAGGCAAAGGAATATTTTGTAAATATTTGGTCGAAAGCTATATATGAAACTGAAATGAATTGGTTATTAGATTGCATTAAAAAACAGATCAAACTTTAAACTATCAAATCTAACATCATGATTAACTGATAACCAATCCTTTAGAAATCTGATCAAACGAGCTTTATCCGATGTACATCACAACATATTAATTTGACTTAGTGAAATAAATTTCATGTAGTATGTAACTGTAACCCCTTAAATTTTCAAAAAGTTTCCAGTGAAAGATGATATAAAATTAGCTATTTTTTATTATATTCAAACTAGATAGGTAAGTGTCATTCATTACAGCATACAAGGAAGAATGTTCATGTTAAATGAATTAAAGATTATTTTTATCAACAGTTTTATCGATCCACTTCTGTCTGACTGTTTTTATTTAATTTGAATAGATTTCTAAAAAGTGCAACTGTTTTGATCATTATATTCACTTGTTTATTTTTTGTTTAAAGTAACTAAAACTAAACATTTCACAGATGATCAAAAACTTTTGGTTGAATTAGCTAGTTCGAACACTCGTGTTGGTCATATTTATGTTCCAAAGCAAAAAGCTGTTTGGATTTCACCGAATACTTATCAACGAATTGTATTAGAACAATATATGACACCAGAATGTAGGAAATGGTTAAAAAATAAAACATTTCTTCCAAATAGTTATCCATTTCAATCAGCTCCAGGTTATCCTGCTGATGGATTTGGTAGATTTAAATCATATAAAAATAGCCTTCAGTCAGATTTACACATTCAACCGTTGACTTTTCAACAGTTCAGACATGGAGCGGATGTTCAAGTAAGAGAGTATCATTCACTATTTCTTTTGTAGTCCAAATCAATAATGCTTTCCTTTCGTAAAAACCGTTACATTTATTTCAAAATTAAACATGTACAAATGTTAAATTCTGTTAAAATTAGATGATGGGAAACATTCGTTGCTTAAATAGAAGTATTTAAAATTTACCTCATTTTCTAGCTAGATGGTTTATTTGTTAAGGTTTGGTTGCATTTATTTATAAAATCGTCAACACACACTTTTCAAAGAAATGAGCTATAAGAACTTTTCTCTCTAAGAAATTAACATTATATTTGGTTAACATGGAATTTCTTTAGTACTTTCTCGTATCGTCGCCTCTGACTTGATATATATTTTAATTCCCTTATGCTCCGATTCGAAATCAAACCTTGTAGTTATTTTTCCTTAATTCTATCGGGTGATAGAGTGGGTTTGTTTGGATAGATCTATTGATCACTTAGTGTTCTGTCTACCAAATGTATAGTTCTATCGCTTTATTTGTGTTCCCTGTCTCTCAATCAACACCAGAAAGTTTTAAAATCTCTGTCAAATCTTGATACGTTTTAGAATAATTTTGAGAACTGAAAATAGATTTGTACTGTAATCTGACTTGTGATCGATTTAGTAATCATTCGAGGTCATTTTTGGTTTTAACCCTTACTTACGATATATCCGCAAGTCATCATGAAATTGTGTTATTTGGTCTGGAAATTTTACTACCTATCCTTAAAGGGAATAGCAATACTCGAGACTACTGTGTTTACTTGAAATTACAAATCGAAAGGCAATAAAAATTGTTCCGATTTCTAGTTTTCTTTCCGGTTTAGAGAAGGAATATAACTGTTATTCTTGTCGCTTAAGATTCTCAATTATTTTGCGATTTTTATTGCCATTTGGGAACGTACCATGTTTTTAACATTATTTTTAAAAAACTGTGAAGATTAGGGGATGTTTGATCATTTTTATCACTTTCATATCAGACTCTTTACTTGAGTAAGTATATGTTTCAGTTATGACAATAACTGTAATCGACTCATACTATTGATCTTAAATTGAGTTACAGAATATTGAAAATAAGGCAACATTGGAATGACAAAATACACTAGATCAATAAAATGTGAATCATGTAGAAATTAAAGAAAATAAGATTAAAATAGATTTTGTGTGAATTAACCTAGTTTCTTGTAATGTATGGTGAAATCTTCTAAGACGTTTAGGAAATAGATGTGGACTTTTCCTTGCATTACACTCTGGCTTATTAAATGTTGGAACAAATGTATTTTCTTTTTACAATCTAACAATATATCATAGCAGATAAACTACGATCACAGTTTAAGTAATCAATTTCTGACTTCCACATTAGTACACTCACCTGTGTTCGTGGAGTTATTGACTTAATTGTCTTATCATGCCATTATTCTGACTTACTGTAAAATAAATGGATATGTGCAAGAATGTGAAACATTTATTTTTGCAGAGTTGCATATTTATCTTCACTGTGACTTTTTGTGAGAAACTTCCTTTATTTTAATCACTTTCGATCAATGAAATAATCAGTGCTGAATTTCATTAACAAATTAAAACTGGGAAAGCCAGTAGAAAGTGTAACGGCTTATCACTAATAATTTTAATAAAACTCGACATTCATCCGGGAATCCGACGCCACAGGTACATAGGATTTACATGTCATTATCGATTATTCTTACTATTTTCTTAAAATTCTTAAGCTCACATAATGCAGTTATGTTTTGTTTGGTGCACAGCAATAACGATTTGTACACCCAGTCCCCTTTATTATTTTAAAGAGAGCAAGAACATAGATTGGTGCAGAATAATATGAATTCATTTTATTTCGTTAGGTTCTCATCAGCTGCTTACAACTTAAAATATATTCATATTATTCTGCACCTATATTTGTTCTTGCTCTCTTTAAAATAACGATTTATTGCTGTTTCTAACCATATATCAATATTTTTTCTGATTACTGACATTTTAGTTTGAATATTGTCCATCACTTCAATGTTGGCCTCTCTATTCAGTCGTGAATGATTTATTACCAGTAACTAATGGGTGCCCCGTTTGGTGTGATAACGAAGCAACAAGCAAAAATTTAATAAAACTACCCACTAGTAAAGTTTCAAATAATCATTTTCAGTCATCTGGACCGAACTGCGAACAGAATTTTGAGCCTAAATTAGTGTATAGGTCACGCAACAAACATTATCAATTAAGGTAAAGAGAGAAATAATTTTGCTTATGATAATATGTTTATTATTCTAACTTTACTTCTAGACATTTCTATCTAGTTTAACACTATTATGTTTTTAAAATAATCTTGTGCTGAAATACAAATGAAAGTTGACTATTATTCCATAAACTATTTACTAAACTTACGTCCGAGAATTAGTTCTTTTTGTTTTCTATTGAATATCAAAAATACTCTTAAACACTTATTGTATTTATAGATGTTTCTACATGTTAAAATATTTGTTTGTTTTCGTAGTATGCCTTTTGTGTGAGTGAATTTGAAATAAGAAGGTAATCAAGAACTAAAATCTATACGTTTAGAGTATATCTTTGGTGGCTCATGATCTGACTACCTGTTTGAATGAACGAATGAATGTGTTATGAATATAAATCTTTCGCTTAATTTCGTATATTACATCAAGGTTAACCTCGTGTGAGTGAAAGCGGCAATAAAAAGTCAAATACGGATTCAGTTGGATGAATTTATTCCATACACTCGTTTATTCAGATAGCATTAAGATGGGAAGCGGGAAAGCTAAGTGATGGTAAGGTTGCCAACTTGACTTAATAAATGGTGACTCATTATTTATAGATGGATATAAAACTAAGTTTAAAACATGTGATGGATAGAGTAAGCAATACACATATATATATATATATATATATATATATATATATATATATATATATATATACATATATATATATAATCAAGTTTATAAACGAATAATTGATAAAGTCAAAAAATGTGTGGGCAACGAATGAAGAACAAATTAATTATTTTGTCCAAAAGCCATAATAACACGTATAGGCGTTACACATTACTAGGCTCTATGCTTCTTAACAGTTACTTCTTCACTAAGTATGATTATTTTTATCTTAATTAGGCAAACATGCTCTAAATTATTATGCTAGTACGATTGTATTACTCTTAAAAACGATATATTTTACAAATGATTGATCGTTTTTGTTCCTAAAATACCACCGCATATGTATTTAATTTGGGATAGGACATACCCTAAAATTTACTTGTATGACATCCCTAATCAACACTTCACAGAATAGGTTTACTGAGTCATAAAATTTGCAGTCTCCTAGGCTTTCTCCATCATTTTGAAATTAGAATTTTTTGTATTTGGAATAATCGATTTTAACATGGAATGCTTTAAGAAATCCAAAAGGATTACCTTCTATTCAGAATTAAAGGGATGACAAATGCACCCATATTCCTAGTTTGTAACCCAATAAAATTTAAAAGGATTGTTTCACATGTGTGAAACCTTAAATAGGTCATTTGCTTATTACCTAATCCAACATAAATAAACTTTTTCCATCGTTTTTTTGATGGCAGAATCTAGTTTCAGAAAACAAAATTATTCTTTCTCTTCATGAAGTTCACTACCAGTAATTTATTTTATTGGTAAGGCAATACCTAAATTTGTACAACATTCAAGGTACGTTTTATTAGAATACAGTTACCATTTATGTTCACTACAGGTAAGAATTCTGTAAGATTTATTATTAAACTCAACAACACGTCATTAAGTCTCTCTAAAAACAAATAAATTTAACACACAGTTAAATTTCCGTTGAAAACATTAGTCTGGAGCATAATACAGTTCCTTTAATATATATATATATATTACTCCAACTCCCTAAAACAAGTTTTTGATTGAAATCATAAACCAATTAATGTTAGATCACCGCTGAAAACCTGGAATCACTGGACGGCAATTTCGTCCTATTGTGGGACTCCTCAGCAGTGCACATCCACGATCTCACTCGCGGGATTCGAACCAAGGGCCCTCAGTCTCACACGTGAACGCTTATTCTCTAAACCACTGAGCCGGCATCCAATGGTGTTAATGTCTAACCTCAACCAATCCACGAAATTGTTTGACCATCTTCCATTGTACTGAGGCAGATACCTGTCTCTACCCAACACGGATTAGCTCCACTGGTATATACGATCTTATGACTCACTGCATATTTTAAATGATCTACATAAGATTTTAAAGGACAACAAATGCTGATATTGTGAGTTAATTTTTATCATACAACGCAAATGTTATCTCACTATGTATGTCGCCAGTTTGGCCGTGTTCTAAACAAATTACATAAACAGTATTTTGTTACTACTATGGTGATCCTTTGTTTGTAATATCCATGGCTAAAAAATAGTAACAATGTTAGTGTATGGTAATTATTCCAGGGTCATGTTGTTAATTTATTCATAATTAAATGCAAGAAATATCAAGGAGACGTATATAATATAATATAATATAATATAATATAACACGCAGAATGAGACTAGTTGTTAACGGAACAATAAAGGACTTACAAATGATCCTACATAACTAAACAACAAAAGTTGCAGTGAGATCAAAGACATAAAATGTTTATCATTTAATTTGTAAAATTCTTCATTGCATTTTAAATAAATTTCAATAGTTTGTTATTCTGTATTTCAGTAAAACAGTTATTTTTAGTGAGAAACCATTCTTATTCTCCCATATGTTGTTGCGCCAAAGTTTTAATGAAGCCAATACATATTAAATAGGAACGTTTGTCTAAACTTGAATGAACAGTTTCATTGTAATTGGGTGCCTAGTTAATGTAAAACATTAGGGAAGAATAATATATTTGTAAAGTCTCAGCAACTAAATTTTAAGTAGATCCAAAGGTTCTCCCTACAGTCTGGTTTAAGATTTTTCCAAGTAAATGTAGTCAAACATTCTAAAGAACGTTGACAAGATTGGATGGCCTACTTAGTATATAGTTAACCGGAGAACGATATACTTATTTATATTCGATGATTTTGATGTTTGACTATATTTCCTTGAAAAAAGCTTGAACTAGATTGTAGAGAGAAACATTGAATTTACTTAAAATCCACTTGCTGAGATTTTACAAATATATTTTTCCTCCTTAAGGCGATATACACTATTGTTTGAATTTAGTTTCATTATACGTGAATCTAATGAGGGCATTTCAATTGAACTAACAGTTACGTTAGCTACAAAACGCCATAGTGCGCCTGATAAAAATCATAAAATGAAAGCAAAATTGTAGTGAATTGTAACAAGAAAAGAAATCTATCTGTTTACAACCTTGGGATTTTCAATATGTCATCTTACAGATAAATAATAACGCTTTGTTAGCAAAATAACAACTCAGTACCTAAACTATACTTTCTAGCTCCACACATTTTTTCGACAGTACAACTTTCTGAATTGCAAGGAAACTAATTCAAGTTTTAACTTGATAAAATAATGTCGGAGATATACGAATGTGACAAGTGCTATACCGCAAATTAATTACCGATTCCCATGAGACACATTCTTTAATTCCCTTTCATCAACCATCATATTTTATAAACCGTTTAGAACAACCAGTAATTTACAACAGAATTTAGTTAATAATAATAATATGTAGTTAAAATGTAAATTGACAGTAAACTACTGAGATTAAAATTTAATTTACAAATGAAAAGTAAGTGGAATATTTTTTGTTCATAAAAGTGATTGAATGTAAGGTCAATTTTTCTGCTGCTGTTCAATTCAATAAAGTTGTAATTTAAGGTAAATCAAATAACCTTGATTAACAAAGGAATAAGATGTTTAAATCGATAAATAATTTCATGCTAATGAAATTGGGAAGTTATTTTCTAAGCGTACGACATCAGAATGAGAATAATGTGACAATCACAATAACAGACATCAGAATAATTAAATGTCATTTGATCCGCATATATGATGGTTGGTGGAAAGTTGACTAGAAACTACTTGAAAGTCATAATAAGCGGTTATTCGCCTTTGTTTACTCCTACATATTTCCAAACCTCATGAATATAAAACAGTATTATGGGACTGTAGGTATTATAACCAAGGTTTGACTTGATAACTTCGAATAAATTGAGAGTTGGGCAGATTGTTATAAATAAATCAATATATTTGTAATAATGTATTATGGGACATGTACAATTTCAATGAATATTTTCAACTTGTTTCTTTATAAGATTTCGTTTCGCTTTATTGTAGTATTGTTAACGTGTTCCCATGAATATTAAATAAAACAGGCAACTTAATGTAAATTTATATCACATTTTCATGTCTTAGTCAACATCAGGTACTTTTGTCTTGCGCCTTTTACCTCCAATATCTCATAATTGAAAATTATCTGATGTCACTAGGCAATAGTTAACAGGATGATTTATTTTTTAATCAATTAAATCTCATAGAAAATGATGGGATGGTGCAAGATCGTTTTCCAGAAGTAATCTGCAAAAACAATTGCTTTTATAATCTGGATTATTTATCTGATTTGCAAACATAGTGTAACATTTACTCAAGTGTTCAGCTGTCTGATTACCATAATAAAATAGGTTTGTGTTGAAATTAGGAAGTTTGTTTTTACAACGTCAAACATTTTTTAATCATATTTGTTGTAACGGGTGGGCTGCAGGTTAGATGGAGCAGCGTTTTATTGATCGATTCGGTGACAGTGGACACGTAAACACGTGAGGACGACCTAGTGCCCTGATTGGCCCTGCTTCGCTGTCTGTCCCAGCCAGTTGAGTCAAGAAACACAAGTCACAGCCTCTGAGTTATGAATCATTTTATTTCAGACATACTCTATTTATATACCAAACAAACAAACCACATCGTACCATAAAATAGAGAACAACATTTACACAATATTTAACAAGTGAAATAAACATCGACCAATAGGAAATGTACATTTAAGGTCCAAGGCCACCATAGACTTAACACGATAATTATTGATATATTTTTCCGACTATCCTAACAATATTACCCTAGTTACTAATTTATTCATTTGTCTAATTAGTAACAAATATTTATTACATTTTCTTATCGCTTATAATCTGGACTGAATAAATTGAATATTCATGTGATCGTTGTAACAATATTCAATCATTTTACTATGCCTACCTAACCCAATCTACACCAAAGTTTGGTTGTATAATTAAAAGTACTGTTGTTGAAGTCTTCACTCTAACGATTGTCGTCGACTCTGAGTCGAAGATTCGGAATTTAGGATAATAAAACGTAATCAATACATTAGCAATTATACAATAAATGTAGTTTCTGTTACTTAAAAACAGCGGGACAAGCAAATACTGATCTTTGAACGATCTTCTTTAAACTGAGAGTAAATAATTTGACCAAAGGAATTTTAAAAGGTTCTCAACAAAAATGAACACTCTGCTGTTATGTGGAATGATTAATTAATCCTTTGGCACTTGAAAAAATCGGTGATATAAAATGGACGGTTATCATTTACTCGTTATTCAGTTCATGTCTTAGACGAAGTTTGGTGACAGCATGACTTTTCTGTTGATGCGAATTACTGATAGAAGTAGTGGACTTCTTAAAATGGCATGTATATATAAACTTCAGGAGCACGCTTAAGATAGATCTGGAAATTTCTGTCTCATTAGTTACAAGCAGTACAAACGTTTATTCTGTAACTATTTCCAACGTATTCTCAACGTAAGTAAATGATGCATCTTCCAATTTTGGTATCGAATTATTAAAACTTTGATAAGTATTATAATAATGAATTATTTATCCCTTGAACGAGAGTCAATATTGATCAAGTAAGAGTTTGTGTTTTCTCTCGTTCCAGTTTAAACTTTCATTTCGTTTATGTAAAATCATAACTCAGACATTATAATGTATATTGATAATTTGTGTGGATAAGGCACAATCTCTCGACTCCTACTTCTCATACAATTTATTTACGGACTCTGAAGACAGTGATTTTGAGTTTAAGAGGGAATTCTCGTGTCCTACGAAAATCTTGTTTTTGAAGAGGACTTGAGTAGCACATACTATCAGGCCGCGGAAACCTTGTTAGACCATTAAATACCTCCTCCCGTAAAGGTTAGGCATTGAAGAGTTATTTTTATCGTCTATTACACAACAAGGAAATTAGGTGGTCTTGTGAGCTTTGTCAATTTTGAATGAAAAACACATTCCACCATTCAATAGACAAGAATGGAAATTTTAGTGCTTCATAAAATAAGGAAGTGTATAACTAACGTGTCGTAAAGATGATTTTCCTTTAGATACAGGTTGTTGGTTGACTAGAGCGCTAACCTTTGAATTCTACGAACCCCATTTCAGTACGGGTGAGGACAAAGTGTTAATGACCAACGATTGTAGTGACTTATTTTTATCACGAGAACACGATTGGTTTAATGAAAGCAATTATTATTATAACCAATTGTACCAGTGACTGTTTAATGTACTCTTTGTTTAACTGTGCTAAAATCATCCATTATACTCACTTTGATTGTGACCTCGCGCGAATTCGGTTACGCTCCGTAACCAAG